ATGGCTTTAAGACTTTTTCCTTCAATTTCTCTTTTGCCAACAAACAGATTTGTGTTCTACACTTAGTTGTATGGCTAATCATAGATCATTTATATTTTTGTTGACAGGCTAATCAAAATTAAATGTTATACGTGTTAGAATATTTTCTCGAATTAATTTGTAACGTGTGATTGAAATGGACGTATATAAGGAAAAAAAAATATCTTGTTTTTTAGTATATACATTGAATTTAATTACAAATGTTTAATTTGGATACGCCGAATTTAATACGAATTCAATAAAATGATGGAGTTTAAAAGGGAACTAAATATCATCTTTACTTTATATGGTTTGTTTCTATAAACTTCAATTCCTATTACTTTGCTTGTTATTTTTAAATCCATATAAAAACTTCCAAACCAAACGCGAACCAAAATCCTTGTTAAACATCCGTCGGTTGAATTATATATGCTTAATTGCTAATGCGCATTTCTTATAAGTACAAGTGTCATGAACATTCATAAACTAAACCGAATTAAAAACAAACAAAGACTGAAATATCCATGAGTCTATTGAAAAATACGTCATTTAAGAAAATAAAATGTATCTTTAAGACATTAGGTGCTTAAACTATGTTTTTATTAATACTGTTCGGCGGTTAATGTGTCATTTCAACACCAAAACCATCGCTAATCTTTGACCAAACAAACCGGATAACCCGGTCTGGTCCGTTGAACCAAAATGAAGTGGTGGTGTGTTTGAGTAGTACTTCTGATGTGCATTGTCTACTTAAACTAAACCACAAACTATTTTAATCATTAGAAACGTAGAGGCGAAGAACAGTATACTAATTAACCTGGCTAAATAAATTTGATATTAATTAATGGATTATTCTAATTCATCAAATTGGAACAAGTAACTGTTAGTTAAAGATTTAGCACACAACCAACCTCTATAATAATTGATTCGGTACCAAGATAACTTAATTACATTCATATCTAAACCATTTAAAACTTTATAGCAATTTTGCTTATCAATGCGATAAAGTGAAGATTTCCGTATCAAGTGAACCCCATGATTCATGATTCACGACTCATGAGTGGTAGATAATTAGAACATTACTTTCCTGTGAACTACATTAGTTTTTCTTTTCTTTTTTTTAAACTGAAAAAAAAAAATATTCTTCTTGAGTTTTAATTTTTTAGTGTTGGAAAATAAGAATAAAATACACAAGCTGATATTTTACATCAGGTTTTGATACTTTACCATAATCGGGGAAATTATTATAAGTTGGTTTATATATTTGACGAGACTATTATGTTAACAAATCATTGTTATACGATCTTTTACGTGAGTAGTATCACCACTTTAATTATCATTTGTCACTAATTTATTATATTGTACTCCTATTAACATGCAGAAAAATGTCGGTCACATATATATGCAGCATATTCAAACCCAAAGAAAATTATTTTTATAACCATTAGGTACAGATGTAAACGCCTCGTCGTCATCTTCTTCATCTTTCAAAATAGGAATTTAAATATTCTAGTTGGAAATATAAATAATATCCCAATATTACAGTTGAAATGTCTAATTTCATTTAAATTAAAATTGTTTATATGTGACAACTATGTTTGGAAAGACAAACAACTCATTATACAAGTAAACTCATTTCACTATATATTGATAACAACCATGGATTGTTCATATGTCATTGTATATAACTATAAAATATATATATATCATCACAAAACCTAGTAAAAAGTGTAGGAATTAGCACTACTACATATTTATAGATTTTTAAAAATTCGAGACGGAAAACTGAAAACATATAAACTGATATATCAAGCAGAAGAAGTAGATTAGGCCATATCTAAACCATATGACCCATTAATAGGCCCGAGACTAATTCCCAACGTATGCAAAACTAGGCCCAATATGCGCCATTACGAAATGCATCTCGCATCCTATTAACATTTATGAGTTTAATATTTTGTAATGAATCCTAATTATTATATGTACTTGTTCAAATATATATCACCCACAAATGATAGCCCAAATTTAAATATATAGCAGTATTCTGTTAAAGAACCTAACATCGTCTTTTTAAAAAATACCTTTTTGCTCGTTGCTACTGACTATTGATGGATGAGTAGCTAATTATGTTTTTCAATACTGTATAATATATATATCTTGTGACCGTGATGTTGTTTAAAACTCCGAATTAATATGCTTCATTGTAAAGTTACATGCCTACTAACACTAGTTCACATGATTAGGTATTTAGGTTATTGTTTTTAGTTAGTTGAAAGAAACACAATACGTGCTTGCTGACGCTGATCCATTACTTATCCACTTGGAAAATAATACCCAACCAAAACCCTCCCTCTCGTTTAGAAGGTTTCTGTACCATCCGAATCACGAAAGTGGTCAACTCAATTTCCACAAAATAGTCAACAAAATTAGATTATTAATAGGTTAATTATAGAGCCGATTTGATTAATATTGTTTTAATTGGTACGTTCATAGTTGCACGATCTATACGACCATAAATAAATACGATGGAAATGCAAACATTTAAGCATTTTTTTTTATCATCTGAAATATATATATATATAATGGTAGAAAAAGATCCGAACATGATACACGATAGACCCATTACAACATCATCAGCAAGGTCTAAGGAAACAAAGATTTTCATAGAGACAAATCTTTGTCCTTAAAAGACATAAAAAGCTAAATACAAAGGAGAGAAGGTAATTGATTAAAAAGGAAAGCAAAGAAGTAACCCCAAGTTCAAACAACGAAACCAATGGCACACCCACACACTACCCCTAGGAAGGTGATGCCACAACTGAGCCAAATAACATAAGGAAGAACAGAACCTAAACCTTGAGGCACACCCAGAGAAGGAGAACCAAAACGCGGCTCTAGGACTAACTTAACCAGCAGACAGAAGAGGCGGATAAGAGCGCAGGGAGATAAAGGCAACAAAGTAGAGAACCAACGTCGAGTAGTCACCCCAAAGACACCGGGAAACAGAGGAGACAGCGATACCAAAACACTAATAACCTGACCACCGAGTCTAAACAAGAACACCAAACAAACCTCTGAACCAAAATCATAGACCACAAACAAACGCATGAGACCAACAACAAGCACATCTCCTCGCCCAAAAGAACCTTAACTCACACAAACCATACACACAAGCAAACAAAAAGAGAAGCTTGTCAAGATACAACCTAACCAAGTCGGTTACCTATCCAAACTCAAAATCATAGGGAACAAGAAGCCTAAACCAGTATCGCAAAGAGGGAGCAGCGAAACAAACCCAACGAGACGGAAGGGTGGACTATACCGTGAACTCATTATA